GGTACTTCCTGTCTAACAATATTTTTGTCCAAACTACCTTTACATTCCCTCTTTTGTCTTTTTGCTCGATGGCTGTACCTAACATCGTACGACATAAATAAATTCACAACTTTTTATCAGTGGTGAGTTAAATGCATACAATAAAATCATTGCTTCATCAATAAATTTTTTTGACACTTATTAAATTGCTCAAATGAAAATGAAGTGGAAATGGAAATAATTAAAACAGGTAAAATTATTGACTTATTTAAGGTATAACCTCTATTTTTTGCAATTTGACATTATTATCTCCTTTCTATTCACATAACCTAAAACCAAGAAATGATAAATTATTTCAAAGATTTCCAATAAAAGTTTATACTCTTTTAATTTTTGTCACGTAAAAATTCTAAATTTAATTTAAAATAAAAACGATTAATCCAAAGGCTAATTTCGTTCTTTAATTAACTGTAAGATTTCAACATATTTGACATAAAAACTTTTGCCCAGTTTTTGACATATTTGTGAACAATATATTTTAGATAGCCACAAAATTTAAACTTTTCTATGAATGTAATGTAAGTTGCATACATGTGACACATTGAACCTATTCCAAATCTTTGTCTACAATTTACTAGGGCTCTTTGCATATTTCATACATTCCAAAAAGTTTTCTGTTCATATTATTTCTTCTACTTTTTTAATTTTCATTGATTTTATTTTTTTTCTTTTGAAAACTCTAAAAATGTATTGGTTAATGACATTAACCGATTATTATTGTTACGTAAATTATTTTACACATCTTTTAAATCAGTCACATCTGATGAATAAATAATGTTGAAATTTCCTTTTCTTTAATTTATTGATTATCATATTTGTTTTGATTGACTCTTGTAGCTCTAACTCAGAATTATGAGTAAGATAATGTGCATATTAGCCTTGGTGATATCCGTAAATTGTGCAGGCAGTCATAATTGTTGTCTATATAGCTGTTATGGAACAATCTTGAAATTAACAAGTTTTATATTGATTTTAATCTTTTGGGATGAAAGAAAATTTCATAAATACCTAAATGTCCATGTACGTATTGATTTTTTTATACCTGTGTGTATTCTTTTCGTAATTTTTTATATGTACTTAGAAAATAAAAATTGTTATATATTATTCTAATTTTTACAGACATACAAGAGTTTATAATGAGAAATATATTCCATGTTTTGTAGATTTATCATAAAATGCAGGTGATTATATATAATAAATATATATAAAGATGAATGCATTTTTATTTACACCAATATACCCGCATTAAACACTACGATACATATTAGTATATAAATATACTTTTTTTGTTTAGAAAATAACCGCCTTAACCACGATCTTCATTAGCGAAGTACAGAAAATATAATAGATGTACAAAGTAATAATTTATTACATGGTCAGTGTTTATGGTTAAAGTGGTTTTGATATCATCTGAGATTCCATATTTTCTTCTTTTTTCTTCGTGGTACTGGCAGTCAATCAGAATATGCTTCACCGTCAATGGAACAGAACAGTTTCTGCAGGTTGGGGAGATTCTTTGTTGATTAAGAATTTATGGGTCAGTGCAGTGTGTCCAATTCTTAGTCGGTTGATTATTACTTAGTCCCTTCTATTGGATCGATTATTCAAGATGGTCTTCACAAGAAGATAAATCTCATATAGTTTGGTTCCTGAATCTTTCCAGTACTCTTGCCATATGTTCATACAGTGGTCTTTAATTAGGTTTTTAAGATCGGGGCATGGGTAATTTATTGATTGCGTATTGTGAGTTTATTCGACTTGTATTTGCTAGGCTGTCCACTTTCTCATTTCCAGCAATTCCTACATGCGACGGTACCCACATATGTGCTACCTCTTCTGAATAGATCATCTACCAAGGTTGCCCATAGTAGAGGAATCCTCCTTGTGAACAGCCTCCACCTACTTTTGCTTTGATGGTTGCTTTACCCATAGTGGACATTACTGTCCTATTCTCCAGAGATGCCCTTATCCATCTGCATATTACCACAGGTGAGCCTCGTCTACTCATAGCTCCTATCAAAGAGCTGGTGGTAACATTATTAAATGTTCTCGTCTACTCATAGCTCCTATCAAAGAGCTGGTGGTAACATTATTAAATGTTCTACAAACTTCAATATTAGAACTGCCGTGATTATGTATAGCGGTACTTTCATCTCCATATCTGGTATGACATGTTTGTTCTTTATGATAAAATTACTGTTAACAACTCCATTCTCCTGTAGCTCATCCTTCGACGTCTTTCCTCCCATTTTATATCTGCTTCATTTTCGGTCTGTTCTAAGATCGGCATATAATGTTGGATAATCATATAATGTTTATTAAATTGCTTCCATCAATTGTTCCTTATAGTGGAACTATAGGGGTAATTTACCCCCGGCATGTGGTTAATTAACTCGAACTCACTGGATACTCATAATTACTTTATTTGGTTTTCTCAGCACAGTAATAGAGAGAGTACCCAGTTGACGGATGACAACACTAGCTTCAACTGTTAACTCTTAATTCTTAATGCATCTACTCCCGGTATTTTTCGGGTATTTAACTGACGTGCGTTTGTTTATGCATTTATGTTTTTCAAATAAAATTTGTACACATTATTAAATGGTTTTCGGCACTGGTTTTATAGTCAGAGAAAGTCTTGTGGGGGCAGTCTTAACTTTCAAACCCGTTAATGAAAGACTCTGCTAAATCAGACTCAAAAGACAACTACATAACTATTCCCTAGTTGCTGCCCATGCACCGACAGAGGAAAAGGAAGAGCATGTAAAAGATAACTTCTATGAGACACTAGAGGAACTGATAAATAATCTACCCAAACAGGGCAATTATCAGAAAGAAAGAAAGAAATCAGGAAGAAATAATCAGAGATATAGAAGAAAAAAGAAAGAACAAACAAGCGAGACAGTTCTTTAAAGGAGCTTCAGGTATCAAGACCGGGTATCAAGCAAGAACAGGAAACTACCTTGAAAACGACAGCGGGCAGATTATCACTGATGACAAGGAAATTCTAAAAACCTGGAAGGAATACTTCTATCAACTATTGAACTCCAATCTAGCAGAAATACATTAAACATAGAGGTACATACAGCTGAAATAGAAGACCATACGAAGAAGTAATACAGGCAATTAAAAAACTTAAAAATAATAAGACACCAGGTAGCGATGGTATACCCGCAGAGTGCTTAAAACATGGAGGAGAAGCGTTGTACAGTGCTATATATATGTGCTATATTCAAGACATTCGGCGAGAAGAAACAATGCCAGATGAATGGAAAGAAGGGGTTATTGTACCCCTATTATAGAAAGAAACAAAACATACACAGTAGAAATCGTTGGATATTATCAATGCGGATTTAGACTGGGCCGCTCTACTATTGACCAGATATTCACAATAAAACAGATAATGGAAAAATGCTGGGAGTTTGATCGTGAGCTTCATCAGATGTTCACAGATTTTAAACAATCATTTGAATATGCAGGGCCAGACTGTAGACAGCGATGCAGGAACTTGGCTGTCCAAAAAAACTAGTCAGGTGGATACGGATGTGTATGGAACGGTTACGATGTAAGGTGAGAGTTGGACAACAATACTGGGAGACATTTGAAATAAACAATGGACTAAAACAGGGAGATGCAATTTCACCACAACTCTTCAACTCCGCTCTGGAGCACATAATCAGAAGTGCAAGAATCGAAAAACCGAACACAATATTTCATCAAGAAGGACCAAACTTACTATTGGTATTAGCAGACGATATCGATCTAATAGGAAATACACGATTAAGGATGAAGGAGATTTTCGTGAGGTTCGAGAAGGAAGCAGAGAAGATGGGGCTCCAAATCAACGAAAACAAGGCAAAATATATGCATATGAGCCGCAAAAACCAAAGCAGAGACATAATCGATCAGAACATCACCATCGATGACTTCAACTTTAAGCGCGTTAGAGAATTCAAGTATCTTGGAACAACAATAACTGAAAACAACAACGGATCACAAGAAATAAATAACAGGATTGAGGCCAGCAACAGATGTCTTTTTGCCCTACAAAACCTTATAAAATCGAAACAACTAACACGACGTACGAAGATACAGATCTATAAAACAATCATACGACCCGTTATGATGTATGGAAGCGAAACGTGGACGATAACAAAGGCAAACGAAGAGAGACTATGTGTTTGGAAAAGAAAAATCCTAAGGAAGATCTTTGGTCATGTGCTGGATGAAGCATCAGGACAATATAGGATACGAACTAACAAAGAGCTCGAAGAACTTTACCAGACGCCAACATCATAAGAGAAATGAAGTCCAGAAGACTCCAATGGACAGGACACCTCAGAAGACCTTCTGACGAACGAACAGTAAGACTGGTGTGGGAGGAAGTCCCAACTGAAAGGAGACCACGTGGACGCCCTCGTCTCCGATGGCGAGATAATATAGCAGGAGACCTAAGCACTATGGGCATGGAGAATTGGATGAAGGTTGCTCAAGTCAGAAAACAGTGGAGGCATGTTGTCGAGTCGGCTAAAACCCACGAAGGGTTGTAACGCTACGGAGTAAGTAAGAAAGTTAGTAAGTCAACTTTCATTTCATGCTTTTCTAGTTGTTTTTTGAGATCTTTATTTAGTTCGTTGACAATTCTTTTGTCTTATCGATTTTTTGTTCTTCTGCATCTCAGCAAAATTTGTTATAAATTAAAACGAAATTATGGGCTAATTTAGAATTTTATTAGAATAAATATTTTCGGTTGTTACAATTTTTAATGCAAACTATTAAGCAGTTAATTTGTTTTATTGATACGTTTAACAATATAATAAAATAAACTGGGCAAATTGCTTATAAGTAGATACTAAAAGATTTTTTATAAAACGTTTTCCATCTACTAATAAATAAAAAACAATTGTAATCCTTTTACTTTCTCTTAACGTATTGTTCATTACACAAAACGTGTTTTTAGTTTAATCATCTAAAAATAAAAAGCGTATGGGTATTCTGGTGAATACTTTTGCGAATAGATCATCGTGAATAATCAACAGAGTCTGTCTCACTGAGTCTCTCAGATCTTCGTCTACAACTTCCCAGTTTTCGTTAAGCACCTGATTTATCCTATCACCTAAAACAACATAGCTTTAATAATATTATATACAAAATATTTAATTATGGCTGTTAAGTTGCGGGTATAATACTTTAGCATTTCTATTTTTTTCATACATGTTAAAACATCGAAAAATATTTTCAATATTTTTGCGTCACAGATCTATAATATACAAATGAATCGCAAAATGTGTTGGTAAGCGCATAACTCAACAACGCATAGACCAATATTAACAATTCTTTTTTATACTCAATGAAGACTGAATTATTTGTTCTCAACTTTCCCAAATTTTACGGTCTTTTAAAGAAATAACAAGTACAATGAATGGCCAAAAATACTTAAAGGGTAGTTCAGTGATTATTATGGTACGCTGCCTGTAAGAATCTTGCAATAAAATTTTAGCAAACAATAACCTTACATCCATAGGTTCCGGCGTAGTACAATTACTAATATCGGGTTTAGCAAAAAAATTTAGAGGGATAGAACAGAGTGGCACATTGACAGTATGTACATTTGTGGATTCACAATTTAAAGTGCAGGGATTTTCTGATAAAAATGAAGCTAAAAAAACAAAAGAAAGAGTTAAGAAGCTGGTACTTCTATAATTAAAGAACAAGACGATTGTACTATTGTAAATCAAACAGTACAAGAAAAAGAAGCCGATAAAGATGACTTAAGTCCATGATGTATTTTTGATTAATTAATTGGACGTGACTCATCTAAACGTACCCTTGTATCGAGAGTACATTACAATGATGGAAAAATCATCGCCATGTATATCCTAACTTAACCACTATATTCACAAAATATTGTAAATGTGAACACATGTACAAAATCGGGTTTAATTTTAAATAAAAGAAGAACACGGTTAACAAGAAGTAAAGTAGAAAAACTTATGTTTTTAAATGTCAATTTAGACGATTCGCGATTTAATAATAACGTGTAATGTAAATGTAACTAGGATTTACTATTTGTATTGTTAAGTTTATTTTTTAAGTTATAATAAATATATCCTTCATTAGTTTCTTTCAATTCATTAAATATACACATAAATAATAATAGCTATTATGTTTGTTTTGGCAAGTACTCTTTTACTTGAAACTACTGTTAAACAATCATAGTTACTTGTTTACGAAAATCTGTTTACGGTAAAAACGTCAACGACCCACCTCTATTCGTTACCAATGTCCCTACTTTGATTCGGTGCTTTGACCACGCGAGACGAGACGTTGCCAAATAATTTTGTATGAAGATTTTTTATTGTGACGTCCTATGCAGTTTATTATTTTTATTGGGAATAAGGCACAATGTGACTTTAAAATAAACTTATTTGATGTTTAGATTTTTAATTCGGAAATCGTACTTAAAATACGAAACATTATTAAATTTTATTTATATAAAACGATTTCCGAAGTGGAAATCAAAATGTTATATTACACTTATTATAAAGTAAAATTGTGGCATATTCCCAACAAAAAACAGTAAATCCATTTAAATCCATTTAAATAAACCCATTTAAATCCATTTCCCCAAATTTGATTATCTTAGAACATTGTTCAAATGCTAAAAAGACAACAGGTCGAATAAAACCAATAAGTTTGGCAACGTTGAATTTCCCTTTTTATTATTACAACTCATTCATTTTCGGCGATATACAGGGCGGACCTAATATACCTATCTCTTTTTATACAGGTGTTTCTCACTCCATCTCACGTAAGGTCCATACCGACCATAAACTTTTACCTATACTGTATACATAACTGAAAATCCTGTAGTAGGCTGTATACAGGAATCATAAAAAGTATAATTTTAACAATGCCCTTTCGTGTTACATCACACAACGTTTTTGGACTAATAAGTCCATCATCAATGCAGTTAGCCGGTATACATGAGTGAAGTCACTAAGTATGTGGGTTAAAAACCCTTAATTTAAATTTATGTACAAATATGCATTAATTTACAAAGTTAACATCATATTAAGGGTATGTACCCCATATTTAGTGGCTTCACTCATGTGTTCCTTGTAACTGGACTGATGATGAACTTATTAGTTCAAAAACGTTTTGTGATGTAACCCGAAAGGGCACTTTTTGAATATACCGGGTGGTGAATCGCCTAACGGGCCATAGGAAATTCAATGGGAAATTCTAAATTGTTGAATTCCTGCTTCCTAATTATTTTACATCTAAAGTTATAAGAAACTATTTGTAGAGGACTGAAATATGTATTAAAAACAAATGTTAAAATTGTTCTACAAATTAAATGTGTTCCAAAATTTTGTAAAAATATAATACATTTTTCAGCCCACCCCTTAAAGATAGGCCACACGAGGTACAAGAATATGTATGACATGTTGCGTTTGGTCATATTGATGATTGTGATATTTGACAATATTTGAATTGTAAATATTTTTATTTTGTGATTAAATTAATCGTATAGTTGTATTAATTATACAAAAATATTAAAATACGCAAATTTTACAAATACTGCTACTACTAGTGTAGTGTTGTTTACAAAGCAATAAAATTTAGGAAATGTATTCAGTCCATATGAACGGAATTTATTCCTTTTCGAAATATTTAAAGCCGTAGAATTATAAATATTAAACTGGTTTGCAATGTTCCGAGAACTTATTCTACAATTTTCTACAACTTCTGCATGTCTACAAACTCTACATTTATTTCATTTTGATTTTCTAAATCTTTTGGTACCTCAGCAATATTGTTTGTACAGGTACAATTAGAAATCATGGTCCCATTAATTAAAAAATTTTGTAAAATCCTTTGAATTGTTAAATGACTTTGAATTGGTCTATTGGAATATTCTACGCTAAATAAAGAACTGACAATTCGCGCACTATTGCCTGAATAAAACATTTTTATTATTGCTAGTTTCTCCTCAACTGAATACATTTTTTTAATTAACTATATTGTTTTTAAACAATAAATCACAAAATTAAAATTTTGGAAATTCAAATATTGTCAAATATCAGAAACATAAATATGACCAAAAGAAACATGTCATACACACTCTTGTAGCTCGTGTGGCCTGAATTTAAGGGGTGGCCCTAAAAATGTATATTTTTACAAAAATTTGGAATACATTTAATTCAATTCGTAGAACAATTTTAATATTTGTTTTTAATACATATTTTAGTCCTCAACAAATAGTTTCTTATGACTGTTCTGCTTTTGATATGTAAAATAATTAGGGAAGCAGGAATTCAACAATTCAGAATTTCCCATTGAATTTCCTATGGCCCGTTTGACGATTCACCACCCTGTATACACCTTTTATAAGGGATTTTCTACACAAAAGTTTTTTTAATAAATACTAAGATATGGACAGAAAAAAATAACTATGGAATGTAAATTTATACTTACTAAGAAGACGATCTCCTTTGATGACATCTTTAAAGTAGTACTTGACATGTTTAAGTTTGTAGTCAAAATTGCTTTTAACTATTTTAGCATGTTGTTCACCGTGTCTTTTTTCTAAAGTCCATTCAAAATCGTACGTGTAAATACCATCAGCTGAAATAAAATGTGTATAAAAACATGTAAACATATAGCAATGGTCAAAGAATTAAAGCAAAAATACAGAAACTATTTAACCTGTCTCTCGAATATGTGATAAGACAGCAAGGTTTTCGATTGATTCACTCATTGTATTAGAAATGATCAGAAAATACACTAAATAAAACCCGATTACTGGTTATCATGCTACTCCACCTATCTGTTCATAAATCTGGTCTTCCCATGAAAAGTAGGTGGTAGTGAGGCAAATACGGTATAATTATACCTTATTAATGGACACTAGTCTCTCAATTAAATTCAGAACGTCTTCTAGGGGAACTTTACAAGTCTTTAAAGAAAATCTAGGACTATTTAAGATCGGTAAAGGACAAACGCGACCCATTACCAACGGCCGAAGTATACCGAATACCATGTACATGTGGAATGGTATATGTGGGAACCACGAAAAGACACACAAACACAAGGATAAACGAACATAAAAGCCATTGTCGTTTAGGGCATATCGACAAATCTTCCGTTGCCGAACACGCTTTGGGAAGTTGAGAACATCGGATACTGTTTGAAGAAACGCAGATGCTGGATAAAACATAATAGTACTACCCATGGTTGTATCGGGAAGAGGTGGAAATATATAAGCACCCAAATAATTTCAATCGGATAGAAGAAGGACTAAAAAGCAACAAAACATGGATACCAATATTAAAATCCACAAACACCCTTCCCGCAAAACACGAAGAAATAAAAGCTACTACAATCAACGACACGCTCCCTCACGCCGAAACCAGTGGAGGGGAGGAGAGTAGAAAATATAAATATGGCCTCCGTAGTACAACATTGAAGGAACATCTTGGGAAGAAAGAATCACGAATGCAACCATCAAAGAAAGGCTCCAGTACACACCACTGAGGGAGGTAGCTGAGAAAAGGACAAGGTATTTCTTCTACCAGGCCACAAGAAGACTCCGTAAGACCAGGGACATCCTCGAGAAAAACAGGATCCAGAGGATGTACAGAAACCCCCACAAACTGATCGACCATCTGATCAGGGTCTAGCCGGATGGTTGCCGGAAAACAGCCAAGCAGGGAAGTAGGTACGATGCCGAAATAAGTACCTACAGAAGAAGACGAGGAAACCACCCAGAGAAGTCCAGGATGCCCAAAGGAAAAATCAACAGAAGCTGACGGTGCAAGAGCGGGACGTCGAAAGAAGGCTAAAATGAATCAAATGAATGAAATGAAATGTCATATATTTTGAAGGCAATAAATGTTTTAATTTTTATTTTTATTTTTATAACAACGCGGCGTCAGTTTCAGCTTACAAGCGAAGCAGTAACATCTCCAGAAGATGCCAACCCCTAGTGTTGGCGAAACGTCGAGAACTAATCTCAAAAGACAATGGCCTAATAGCCCAAACAAACTGCCTAACAAAATAAAGTTAGTCTTAACTGTACACTAAACTGATGCGTTTCATTTATAAGTTTTAACAGTACTTACATAAAGTAAGGTTCGCAGGTCCATCTCCATTAAGGGCAAAAATAAGAATGTGACCTTCCACTTTGTATTCTGCTGTGATGATTAATGTTGGTATCGTGCTTAGAACGTGTGCCTTGCGTTTTTCAAAGTCGACACTAAAAATTATTTAAAAATATAAAGATAGCATAAAGTTGTAAGTCACATTTATAACTATAAAATCTAGTTTGATTTCTATTAGTGCAAAGAAGAAACAGAGAGAGAGAAAACAAATAATTAATCCAGCATTCAATAGTGACACAATTCTATTAGGTATTATTAATAAGAAAGATCCATTTCAGAAATACTTACTCTATAACCAAAGGTTTGACGTTTTCTAGTCCATAAACTTTAATATTCTTTAAAGTTACTTTAAAGTCACCGCTTCCTCTAACTTCGATTAACGGTATTTCCATTGGAGAAAATGATGGCAACCCGAGGTTTCTATCGCCTAAAACAATCGATAAATGTTTTGTAGATCTCCTATTGAAAAATCCGAATCGACAATAACTTAAAGTAAATTATTTAAGCACAACAAACTGTAACAAACGTATAAACTAATTATTATGGTATAGTACTATGTATTTATTATGTTAATTAAAAATCTAGTAATAATTTAATAATTTGATAGAATATAACAAAAAAACACCGAAAACTTTGTTTTCAAACTTCCACAAAATTTATTTTAACCTCTTATCACTACAGCTGTTTCGGCTGATTGCCTTTCTCAAGTGATCTATTTTTGGCATGAGTTTACAATTTATAGTCTCTAATGAAATAGGTTAAGGAGGCAAAAACTGTTTGTCTCGAGTTGGTCATTCAGAATTATATCTGTGTTTTTTAATTTGTTAATTTCCATAGATTCTAACAAAGATAGCCTAAGGCCTTTATTTTGAATGTGAAGAATTTTAAATTCGTCATTAAACGAATGATTGTGATCTAGAAGGTGAAGTGCGTATGTAGAATCTGTTTTTCTATTATTAAAAGCCCTTTTATGTTCTGCTATTCGTTTATTAAAGTTTCTACCAGTTTGACCGATGTAAGTTTTTGGGCAGTCGCCACATTTAAGTTTGTACACACCAATGTGTACCTAAGTGTTTATTTTGGCTCTTGTTGTTTTTGATATATTTGCCTAGGTTGTTATTTGTTCGGAAAGCTGGTATTATTCCTTTCCTTTTTATGTGTTTGGCTATTTTTGTTAATATTTTGCCTGTATATGTAATCGAGCAGAAGGTACTGGGTTTTTTCTCTGGTGGTGGAAATACTAATTTCAGGGCTTTCTTGTGTAGTTTTTGATTTAACATTTTATTAATTGTTTGTTCGTTGTATCCATTGTTTACTACTATTTGCTTAATGATATTTAATTCTGTCTCAAAGTTGTATTTTGACATCGGAATTTCTGTTAATCTATGTAACGTACTATGATAGGCTGCCAGTATATGTTCTGTTGGATAGGATGATGAATTGTGTATAGTCGTGTCAGTATGGGTAGGTTTATGAAATATGGAGAAGTCATGTTTGTTTTTAAGTCTGATAATTTTTAATTCTAACGAAATTATGGATTTATTTTCACTATTTCACTTCATAGTCATATTGAATTTACAATAGAAACAGAACAAAATCAATCCATAAATTTTTTAGATTTAAAAATTATCAGACTTAAAAACAAACATGACTTCTCCATATTTCATAAAACTACCCATACTGACACGACTATACACAATTCATCATCCCATCCAACACAACATAAACTGGCAGCCTACTTTTCATGGGTTATTAATATACGTCTTAAAAAAGAAAATAAGCCTGGATTATTGAGATTTATTCAAATTATCTGAACCGGTCTTAAAAATTTAAAAAAAATGCTAATTTTTAAAAAAATCTTAAAAACAAATTTCGCAAAAACTATTCAATCGATTTGGCCCATCTTTTGGGCCCAAATCAAATATGATAAGATCCTTAAGTTCAGGTACATTTAAACAAATTTTAATAAATAATAAAAAAAGTTATTAACAATATTCACAAACAGCGGATTTTGTTGTTTATTTTGCAATAATTTTTTGTTTAAATTCTTGCAATGTTTAATTTTGATAACATAATGATGAATTATTTTAATGATGTATAGAACCACATACCTGCAAGTAAAAATGGAATGGCGTATTTGGCACTTTCCATGGCACAAGCGCTGAAATTGTGCTTTTTATGACAGGGCTTCAGATAGGGTGCTGAAAAATTACCACATATTAAAATAATAAGTTTAAATGATACAAAAAAGGTTAATAATTCGCACAAGCATAATACTACAGAAAAATTGGACGAAGAATTGTAAAGACACAGAGAGATACATAAAATTACATAAAATTCTTCAATTTGGTGCCTTCAGAACTTATTTAGATTTACCGGTCTTCAATTTTAGTATTTGAAATCAAATAGCAATCTTACATTGTTTTTATATTGTTTATAAGTAAAAATGACATTTATTCTTTCTATGTATTTATCAACGAGTGTCATGGGGGAATCGTTAGTTCCCTCAGTTAAGTCCATGGTTCTTTATCTATGCGTCATTAATATACCAGTACAATTTCACCATTGTGTAGGGTGATTCAAAAGCGCAATTGAACAAAAACAACGTGTTTATTAACACATGGAATGAAGTAGAGCATGGAAAAGGATCAAATGAAATTGCCTCTGCCATGTTCCACCAACTACCGAACACTATCTTTAATGAAAGTATAACCCGAATAAAACTAGTATGAGATGGGTGTCCAGGGCACAACAAAAATTCGACTGTCCTCGGAATATTAATGCTTTGGTTAAGACAACATGCTCCTAAACATGTGAGGGAAATCCAATGTATTTTTCCTGTAGTTGACCACCTCTTCTTACCCCCGAATCGTGTGTTCGCAAGGATAGAAAAAGTAGTGTGTTCGAAGGAAGTCATCGCCAATCCAGGGGAATATATTGACTTTTTAAAGAGCACGGGACTGTAATAAGTCTAGCCAATGAGTTCATTGTATACAACTGGAAGGAATATTGCCATGAAATAGCCAAAGCAGCCAGGACGCAGTGGTACTTCAAATGTGCGCCTGCAAAGAGATTTATATGCGCCTGAATATAAACATGATATGGGAAATTACAAAAGTGTTTTAAAGAGAGAGAAGAACATAGGGGAAATGTATATGAATAAATATAGCCAGGAATATCAAAACAGAAAACACCATGGTTTAGAGAGGAACTGAAGACAACATGTGAAGAAAAGAAGAAAGCCTTTTACAATACAGAACACAACAAACACAACAGGCATACAACCACTATAAACAATTACTATTTATAACTGGGAATAAGCCACATTAAAGATAAAAATACATTTATTGACGTTTCAATTTCCAATTCGGAAATCGTTCTCAAAATACAAATAGTAAATTGTATTTTGAGAACGATTTCCGAATTGGAAATTGAAACGTCAATAAATGTATTTTTATCTTTAATGTGGCTTATTCCCAGTTATAAATAGTAATTAATTTACAATGCCACAAGAAAATAGCTTCAGAACAACACTATAAACAAATCAGAAATAAAACGAATACTTTAGTTAGACAAATAAAAAAGGAACACTGGCAGTTTCTCAAAATAGATGGAACACGATTTCTACGGAACACAAAAAGAAATATAGGGAATGATCAGAGGACAAAAATATCGGGAAAGAAACGAAAGGCAGAATTTACAAAACAGTCATCAGACCAATAATGATATACGCGACAGAAACAAGACCTGACACAGAGAGGACAAAAAGGATGTTAGAAACAGTAGAGATGAAAACACAGAAAAATTGATGGTAAGACACTATGGGACAGAGCTAGAAGTACAGATATACGACATAGATGCAAGCTGGAGAACATCAAAAACTGGGTAAGAAATAGAAGAAGAGGAGAAATCCCGGACAAAAAAAGGTATCAACTAAACGTGGGGTTAAATATTCTGAACGAATTTGTAACTCTTCAAAAGTAGCAATCCTCTTATGATATGTGGAAATGCAGCTGGTGAGCTACTACCTCCTTATGTGGTATACAAATCTAAGCATTTGTGGGACACCTGGACTGAAAATGACCCCTCTGGTACGCGTTATGCAAATACTGTATCTGGTTGGTTCGAATCACAGACATTTGCAAATTGGTTTAACACTATTGTATTGCCAGGCTTAAAAAAAATCAGGGAAAGAAGGTCGTTTTAAGAGACAATTTATCTTCTCATATGAATGTTGAAGTCCTGGATTTGTGTCGAAAACACGACATTTATTTTATATGTTTGCCTCCGAATAGCACCCACGTTACACAACCGCTAGATGTTGCATTATTTGCCCCAATGAAAAAGGCCTGGAGGGAAATTTTATCTGAATATAAGGAAACATGTGGGGAGTAGATCAAATGTACTTGAGAAATAGCATTTTCCAACGCTTTTACGATCATTAATCGAAAAAATACAAAAGAATAGCGATGAGATATTAAATTCGGGATTTAGAAAATGTGGTATCGTTCCTTGTGATGTAACACCGCTCTTGGAGCGGTTAAAAACAACTCAGCAATCTAGTGCGATAACTGATAGTCATACAACAAATAATAATAAATCAAGTTCGTCAGATATCGAAAACACTTTCATTCGATATTTAGAAGATAAAAGAAAGGAAGCCACCCAGTTTAAGACACGTTGGAAGAAAAAGAAAATAAATGTTCTAGCAGGACAAAGGCCTGGACCTTTCCACTAGACAGGGTTTCATCAGATGATGAAATAAATGAGCTGCAAGAGATGGAAGAAGAAAGCGAATTTAATGAAAAACTCGCCTCAGGTTCAATTGGAATAAATATTGTCAAAAAAGTCAAAAACTTTGCATTAGTTCATGTTAAAAAAATATTGGTGAGTACGTTTTATTTGTCTATAAAGATCATGTTTACCCTGGAGTCGTAACAGCAATAGAAAATGACGGAGCGATGATCAACGCCATGTCAAAATCGTTAAAGTTTTGGAAATGACCAGAAAGACGCTACGAAATATGGTATTCGTGAGACAATAAATCCTCCCAAGAAAATTTCCAGACGAGGATTTTACATTGTTCCAAAATGCGACAAATTGTGGTGGGATTAGAGTCAAACTTTGTATTTTCACTATTTTACTTATAATAAAGTTTATTCATTTAAAATGTAGCAATTTTTTTTCCCGGTAGGATTCTTTCATAAATGTAGGTAGGTTTATATTAAAAAAACTGGGCCGACCAACATTTTTTTACATTTAAATAGTGCAAAGTTTATTAGTGGTGCATGATTAAAATATCAAGTGGTGCAAAGTATGACTTTTCTAGGGTATACTTTGCATCACTAATAAAATTAGGATAATCTCTATTATGCAATATAACTAAAAAACAGCTATAATAAGAGCTATATTACGACCTGTTGAATAGATATTTATAATAAAAAGTTCAGATCTTCTTTCGAGTAACATTATATCCACTCTAAGAAAATGAATATTCTGAATATTTCAAAATTATTAAATATTCAAAAGACAAAAAAGTTAACACAGGCAAGAGCTAGGGGAAACACGCACAGTTGAATTAGAGGACGATATTGAAACGGTAGAAAGTTTCACATATTTAGGAGTTGAATTTAACACGGATGGAACAGAAGAACCAGAAATCCAAAGAAGAATAGTCATGGGAAACAAAGCTTATTTTTCACTCGACCATGTATTCCGCTCCAAAAATACACACTGGAAATCGAAATCAGGGTCAAGAGACAAAAAGAAAACTGGAAGTCTTCGAAAGAAAAGTCTTAAGAAAGATATTTGGACCTATTAACGGAAACGGAATATGGAGATCCAGGTACAACCATGAACTCTACCAACTGTTCAAAGAGACACCGATTTCAGATTTCGTTAAACTTCATAGACTTCGCTGGGCTGCTCATGTAGTAAGAATGGAGACAGAAATATTGCCGAAAAGAGCCCTAGATAGTAAAATGCAGAGCGCAAGACCAAAAGGAAGGCCACGGAAAAGATGGGAGGATGAAGTAGCAGCGGATGCGCAAAGTTTGCTAGACGGGAGAACCTGGCGAAGATCGGCGCGGGACCGACAAGGCTGGAGGCATAGTTTGGAGGAGGCCAAGGCCCGATTTGGGCTGTAGCGCCATTGGAGAGAGAGAGAGAGAGAGAAGAAAATGAAACTAAAAACTATGGTGCAAAGTAACCCCGTTTTACGGTACCTATTACATTTAACACTCTGTAAATATTATTGTATGTTTAATTATATTTTTTTATATAAATTATTTATTTATTTATTAATCACTAATGATATTAAAAGAATTTATTAAGCTGCTGTAATTCTGCATCAAAATTTTAAAGCAAAACTAACATTCGACTTGCTACTTATTTGACAACGTCAAATTTTATAATATAATCCGTGATCGGAGCAGTAGCCACTTTCTGTCACTTGCTGTTGCATGGAGTGAATTTCCCAGTTATTATATTTTGTATGCTTTAAATGATGACTCACATGTAAAGAACCGTGGACCCAATTGTATATTCGATTTCTCGCAAACATCATAATATAGAGCGAAATATTAATAAAATACAATTAGACGAAATTTTTACTTTATAAACAGAAAGAAATTTACAGATATAAAAAAGTGTCACGTGTTTTAAAATAACTTTTAATTGTGTATACAAATACATGACCGTTTAAATAAAAAAATTGACAATTTATTTCCTAAATGTACATATAATTTTGTAGCTGAACACTAAATTTCGGAAAATAAATATATTTTAAAGTAAAAGACACATATTTTTTCTACTTACGTATATGGACAGCTCCAATAAAGGAAGCTGACTGTGACAAAACTAACAAAACCATAAACACTGTAAACATTTTGACGATTTACTTGTATTAAACTATAACAATGACTGAAAAATTTATTGGAAATTTCTTAAATATATACTTAAGGACTTAGGTTATTATATTGACGATTTCTATGGAAACGAAAACTGCCTTAATTACTTACCCATATTAATTGCTTTTCATTAGGCAAAAGTGTACATTAGAAAATTCCATTCTACTTAAAAACATAGTGAAACGTCATTTCTTTAATGGTTTCGGCTTTTGGATGGTAATAAAACGTATTTTTTACTTTTTCAATGTATAAAAGGATTATCCGAAATATTAAAAAAATATACAACATTACTATACCGTGTAAAACAACCAACATACCATACATTCTTTATGCGAAAAGAAGCCATTACTTGAGAGTTTCGCTAAGTTTACAGGAGAGCTATTTTAAGATAAAATGTCTCTGGTTAATCTAAATATTAACACACCATTTATAACTAATAATTTTCCTAGAGCTTAAATAATAATTATTGAAAGAGTTAAGTATGTAAGTGAATTTTTGTTAAATATCAAAGTTATTAAAGGTTGTTGAACATAACAAGTTTTGCCATCTTCTACTTGACCATATTTTTGTAATCCGATTTACCTACTAGGGAAAGAACTCAACATCTCATGAAATTAATATAACTTTAATAAACAAAAAAAGTTGTACAAAGAGTGAACTAGGAGTTTGCTTGTTCTTCAGTCTCGGAGTCGTCTTGCGTATTGTTCAGTTCATCGAATTCTGGAGATGGTAGCGTTGTTGACAGCTTTTTGTAAACATTATGGAACTTCTTAGCTATTAACGTTAACAACGATAAGAGGTCCTTCTTTTTTAAAGGATTTACTCCAATGGTACTGGAAACTTCAATGTTTTTTGCACAGATCTTTCGGCATTTTCTGTTGCGAATCAGATTAAGGGTTCGAAATGGAGAAAATGGATTCAGATCATATTTGAAACGAATGACTCCAAATTCTTTAGTGTATCTCAACCATTTTATCTTTAGCCACTCGACTGGCTTTTTTTCAGTATCTTCATTACGATGTACCAAAACGTTATTCTTAAATAAAAGAGATGAAAAGCTTTTGAAATCGGTCAAGTCCATCTCAATCACATTAAACCTTTTTTTGCCAGGGACACCAATCACCAGAAATCATAATCCTAAATTTATCTACATCAGCATTCGAAGATCCTGAAGAACCAAGTCTTTTTTTGCTGGTTCAATGAGGGCATGATCACTGTCGCATTCAAGGCGAGTATGCCCTGGTAGGAGAAACATTTGATCAATAATCTTAAGATGATCATTTTTGGCTAGAGCATACATAAACATAACTGCCATGTTAATGTTTCTATTCTGGCCGCCACACGTATCTGAGTACGTAATTACTTGTTCTACACTTGTTGGTAACTGAAGCAACTTTTTTAAAATACAAGAGGCAATCTGATCTGATCCTTTCCCTCCTTGAAGCTCACTCATCTCAAGTATTTGAATTTTAGGGATAAAACATAATAAAAATAGAAATAAATTTAGAAAAACTTGGAATATAGACACAGATAAATTAAATTCTGATACAGAACAATATAAAAGCAAGTTAAATCTCGCGAAAGTATTAAATCTAGATAAACTTAGCTTAAACGAAATCAATGAAGTCATAACAAAAGAACTATTAAATGCAAGCTCAGAAGTGGCCACCGCTAACAGAAAACGAAAATCCAAAATAAGTGTCATGCTAAAACAAAGACAAGATCTTCTGAGATAAAACAAAAGACACACTGCAGAATTTAAGGAACTTAATCGAGTAATAAGAAAACAGATAAAAGAGGACATTAAAAAACATCAAGAAGACCGTATAGAACAAGTCATAGAGAAAAACCGAAGTCTTAAATGCACCAACATGAAACTAAGAAAGAAAAACACAATAACCATTAAAAATGAACAAGAACAACTAGAAAAAAGTAAATCTGATATTGCAAACTCAATTCAAAAGTTCTACGCCGATCTATACCGTTCCAGAAACGATCCCCCTAACTCCTCAAAACAGAACTTGAAAAGACAAATAATAAATGTCAACTCAGAAGTGATGCCCAAAGTAAGCCACGAAGAAATAGAAAGAGCAGTAAAAGAAATAAAAAGGAATAAAGCTCCTGGAAGCGATGGAATTCTAGCAGAAATGCTGTGGACCGCAAATGCGATGGAGCGACGATATTAAAAGAACTGCAGGGCCAATGTGGAAATGTCTTACAAACTCACCCTCAATATTACTTGAGTTTATTACCAAAAGTATTTGAAAAAACTGAAAAGAAACAACTTGTGAAAAATTCTTTTTGAAAAATGTTACCAGCTAAACCATAAAAAGTAGTGAAATTGTTCTAATTTTAATTTGCGGTAATAAAGAATCTTGACTAGATATAATTGTCACGATAATAGTATACTATCGATATAAAAAGGAGCAATAATTTTATAATATATCATAATTTAGGTAATTCAAGTAATAATTTAATTGAAATAAGTGGTCACATGGACCTGAATCTAGCACCTTGGTATCAATTATGGCACAATTATTCATTGTAAGTCGATTTTTTATGGCATTTTTCTTATATAAATGAAACTGAAAGACAATTGAACATTTTGTGGCATTTGTTATCACTATGAAGTCTGTTCTGGTAATTTTGTTTGTCAGTGTCTTCAATTACTGCCTTAGTCTACGTAAGTATAACTAATTAAAAATGATTTTGAATGCTGGCAAAAACACGAAATGGTGTAAAGAAGCTGAATGATACTTCACGTGTTGCTTTTATAGCAATAATTATTTTAATCGTGCATATAAAATAGTCAATAAACGGCTATAAAAGTATTGTAAATTTACATGATCAGCGTATTATTAAAATCATTTTAAGACACTTGCAAATCCACAAAGTAGTTTGTTGGTGAATTATTATTTTTATTGAGCCTTGCGACAAAATAATTAAAAACCTACGACGGGAATATTTATTATAATTTTTTTTATTCATTTTATTGGTATATAAAGAAGCTGTGATATTGTACTTGGTAGATCAGCTTTCCTGTATAAAGATGAAGTTTCAAATTATTACATTAGCGTCTTGTATTTTGTTTGTCCATAGCTATGCAGCAATTCGTAAGTTTTATTTTTACCATTATTATGTTATTTATTCGCCATTAATTATTGCAATAAGGTTGAAAAGCACTGGCATTTCAATTGTGCACGAATCTCTTCCAGATCTTCCTATATTCTGCCGGGTGTATACTAGTTCGCTCCCGCGGTCAGATTTTAATACCCCACAGAAAAGGGGCATAGATAAATTCGCTTCGGCCATATATTTCTTAGAAAAGATATTTGAATGTCTTCTCAAACTTTGTATTTACCTATTAATACAACACTACCATCATTGTTTAAAAAAGAATTAGTCTCTTTTAAACAATGCTACTATATAACACTTCTTGCTTAAAAAAATATTAAAATTATATTGATAATATCTGATACCAACATAGCGTTATGAAGGGCAATGCCTGGGGTAACCTTCAAGTGTTTGCAACTCCAAACCGTTGGTTATGATTTTTTATGCATTTCAAAGGTGCGAAAAGGGTATTTTTTAAAATTTTTATTTTTAGTGCACCAAATCAATCACAAGCGAACAGAAGAACAATATTAGATTAAAATGATACATTATTAGAATAATAAGTCTGTACAATCATTTCAGGAGTCAATGCTTTTGTATTTTCTTTCTCTTTTTTCTGTAAACCTATGCGAGGCACTTTGTTGTTCTCAATGAAGTGACCAACAGTAATCACCCATCATGTTGATGTTCCAAAGTCCCTGGTATTGTTTCCCCATCACCTTGATATCCTGGTGAAATTGTTCGCCTTGTTGTTCACTGACGTCACCCAGATTTCCAGGGAAAACGTCAAGATGCCTTTGCAAAAAGTAAATTTTTAAGCTCATTAGACATCTCAATTTAAACTTATCTATTAAATTAGCTACTATGAGCTCGTAGCTAGGGGATTTCACATTACCTAAAAACTTGGTTACAACTTTTTTGAATTCAATCCAAGCTTCTGCTTCCATATTAGTCATCTTGGTTTTAAAGGTGGAGTCAAACACCATTTTACGATTATCTGGTCCAACAAAACACCTTCTTTTAATTTGGCTTCTGATAGATGGGAAAACTTTCCACTCAAGTACTTAAAACATTCTCCATCTTTAGGCAGGGCCTTGCCAAACTGTTTCATTAAGCCTAACTTGATATGAACAAGTGAAAGGAGAATTTTTTTGGATCTATTAAAGTTCTGTTCAAAATGTTCTTCTCGCCAGGTGTTAAAACATTTCTTATGGGATATTGTTTTGTGGACCAGTGTTTATCTCTTGCTCTTTTGTCCCATTCACAAATATAACATGGAAACTTTGTAAATCCCTTTTGTTGACCAAGTAGCATGCAAACAACTTTTCAATCTGCACAGATCATCCAATTGTGAGCTGAATAGCTGATTTTATGTAGAATTGTGTCAACAGTTTCATATGTCTCTTTCATACAGACTGAATGAGCAATAAGAAGTGAAGCATAATTGTTGCTATTGCGTAAGAGTGTAGCATTTAAACTTGTTTTTGAAGAGTCTATAAAAAGCCTCCAATCATCCTTATTATACTCAATAACAAACTCATTCATCAGACCAAAAATATCATATCAGTACACCAAATCCCCTTGCTTAAAAAACTGAGTAAACTGTTGATCTCTGTACCTTTATTTGTAAATAGATGTACCAGGCGACAACAAATTATTTTCTTTTGGACCAAGCAATTCTGATTTTTCTCCTCTTGTGTTTCTTATGCCGAATTCAAAATTTCCAATCCTGCTTTCAGAGTCTTCAATTTTACTTCCAATTTTGGCATTAAAGTCTACCATTATTATTATTTTGGATTCTTTGTTGTTGTCTATAACTTTTTAAGGTCTTCGTAAAAACTATTTATTTCCTCATCGGTTGCTTTTTCACTTGGAGCATAAACTTGCACGATCTTTATTTTAGTTTTTGGACTTAGTTTTAAAACCATGTATGTAACCCTGTCTGGGATGCTGTCAATTATTTGAATTTGAGATTTTTTCTTCGTGTTGATTAAGAAACCTACTCCACCATATGTGTAGTCTTCCCTGCCTTTATAATATAGTCTGTTGCCTGAATGTAAGTCCACAATATCCTTCACCTCTTCTTTTAACTTCTGCCAGTCCCGTTATGTCCCAATTCAAGTTCCCCAATTCCTCTTCTAGTTCGTAGAGTATTTCGTCTTTTTTCATGGAGCGGATGTTGTATGTTGCTATATGGAGTTGTTTGTTCTTCTTCTTTTTCAATGTCGACTTGCCCTACCAGAATCCTCGGGGCAAATCGTTGTTACGGTGTGGGACTGTGGAATACAATTCCTACCCACCTGGGGTACCCTCCGTGTTTCTGTCGTAATCGACATGTTTGATTTTAGACGTTTACGCCATATCCTACCCTGCTGGCCAGACGGCTCGGTGGAGTAGAAGAATGTGTCGTGTCCACCATTGTAACCGAGGTTAGCGGCCTACTCAGTTCAGTCAGCACCCCTCGGAAAGATGGGTCGGCACCACTCATTCTTAATGAAATTACATTTCCTTAATTCCTTGTGTTACAGTTATACCGCTGATACTCGGTCGTCAGAGCCTCGTTTGTGATAACAGGGTTCACCAACGTGAAGGTGAGGTTGACATTTGAGTAGGACAGGCTGTTTGAGACGCATCACTACCCCAATAAACCCCATTTTGTCATATAATTTGTATAAATCTGAATTTCATTTTTCTGCATTGAATACGGTTTGAAGAATCCATCTAAATTAATGCATATGTACGACGGGAGAATATTTATTTTGCATTCTATTAAAAGGATGTGCGATGCATAAAAATTGCATCAGAATTAGTAAAGATATTGAATAAATATAAAGAATGCGCAATTATATTTCCAGAAATATTGTTATGTAAAATAAATTTTACCTTCCTTTTTTAATCGCTTTTATATATTTTTTAAATTTCAAATATATTTTTTTTGCAAGTGGACCGGAAATTTTTACTAACAAAAAAAAACAATTTCCCAAATCGCTTCGAGTAAAATTTTTTTAGACGTACTTCATCGAAGTAAATACTTCCTTTTCGACAAATGGTTCCTTTTTGAGTTATTTGCATTTTTTTGTTAAAATAATATCTATAAAATATAATAAATAATGTACACAAAAGAAAAAAAAAACGAAACGACCTATATGAAGAACTTATATATAGAAAGCCACAACGGAGAGAAAGAATTCAGAGCATTCTATAAGAAAGTTAACATTAACAGAAAATAATTCAAGGCAACCTCAAGACAATGCAGATATATTGAATAGATGGATGGAATACTTTAACCAGGAACTTAATATAGAGGAAGAAAACCTCTCGGGAGAGCCTGTAACTCCT